GTTTAGAGTTTAGGGTTTAGATTCTAGGGTTTAGGGTTTAGCGATTATGGAACAAATTGGACTATACTGTACACTACAATATACTGCAAAGTCTAGTAAGAAGTATGTACCATATTACTATGTTGTTTAGTAGCATGTTTGCTAAACCTGCAGGTTTGGATAATGCTCTTCCTCTTCCTATAACACGTATGGGGCCCAATTGTTGAGGAATGTATTGTGTAGCTTATAGAGAAGGGTCACCTCTGCCACGCAAGTGACCTCTACTGGGTTTGCACGCGCCTTCTTGACAGATTCCGGCAAACTGACCAACGACCTGTGAGACCATGGCATTTGCAGGCTGCACGTCGTCTCGTCTATCTCCATTCTTTGGGTCTTGCCCCCACCTGTGAATAGTCTATAATAGGGTACATATTAAGGGCGTTATACAGTTATATCATATATCACATGTTTTATCCAACTGTGATTCGGTGGGAGCAGTACCCAATCCAAATTGCGCTGGACGTGTCTGTGCATTCTGTGCAGCATCAGCATCCGCCCCTCTCTAACCCCTATGCAAACCTATGAAGTGAGCTGAAACCCTAAACCCTCAACCCTGTTTGCAGAATGCCATGTGACACCATTCACTTTCCCGCCTTCCCCAATGAAGAGATGTCAGCAACGACTGCATCAAGAACAAAACGGGAACCACCTCAGAGGAGAAGCGTTGCTTCAAAGGCTGTATAGGGTTTGTATAAAGTTTATATAGGGTTCATATAGGGTTACATAAGGCTTATAGGGTTTACAGGGCATAGTTTTTGGTGGTCGAATCTACTAAGAATACATTCTGTACCTATAATACTGGACCCCGAAGGAGGATATAATCTCACTCTAGTACTATCGTATCCCCAAATAAAAAAAAAGTACTTCTTAGATTGCTCGAGGGAAACCGGAGTCAGGAAGAACGAGATATTTTCAGAGAGCTCTATCCACAAACTAACTACTATTTAGAGTGTAGGGTTAAGGGTTCAGGGTAAAAAAAATATTGAGACTCAAGTGGGAAAGAAAATGCAAAATGAAACGGATGTTGGGGATATAGTGTGGTTTATGGGGATTAGGGATCAGGGTTTCCTAAAATTAGGGGGATACCTTGTTGGGTTCCTATAATATCTGTAATCAATTATCGGGGTCCCCTAGTCGTGGAAATTATCATTTGGTGGTATATAAATAAAGCGATGCTAAATATAACAAATCCCAATACATCCTGTATCATTGCAGTCCACCGAGGCAAAGATCCTGAGAGCATCGCAAGGCCGATTCTCGGCCAGAGCCGCACCATTGTCACCTGCACCAAATTGGACGTATATGTTGAGGGTTCGGGGCTTCGCCAAGTTTAAGCAAAAGCGTCCTGCCCTTTCTAGAAACAATTAAACCTCAGCACAGGGCCCTTCAAAGTGGACCCTACTTTCAATAGAATGCCATGCAAGCGGCTGCAGCTTTCCAAGAATGTCAACTCAAAACCTATTGCAACCGCGCCTGCTGGCTCCTGGATCTTACCTTCATGTTGACAAAACTGTTGACACACCTATGCACTTGAGCCCAAACAACAACACAAACTCAATCTCTTGTCCGTGAATTCAACATGCTGACTGCTGGTGTTTACGAAAGTTATGCTGAAAAATCTGCAACATACGATTCATGGCATCTTTTACGATAGCTTCGCCTTGAGCTGCATGAGCATGACCATGAATGCTTGTTGGTTATAGCGTTCGTAACTGCTCAGGTTTGGGGTTAAGCGTTTAGGATTCAGGATTTAGGAATGATGATTTTGGTTGCTGACATGCACATGCATCGACAGGCACGTGCACGGGTCTCAGGTTATTCCAACATGCCCCAGCGTGCTTTTGTCATAAACGCTAGGTACCACATGGTGTCAACTTGCTCAACTGCGTCCCAACTGTCCAAAAACCATCTTCGACCTTGCACCTTGCCCTCTGGCGTGTCCCCCGTTCATAAAACAGGATGCTTGCGATTTCTAGCGCGTCCACCTGCGCCGCACAGCTGAATATGCAATCACACTTGCGAGTGGGATTTTCATACGAAGTCGATCTGTAAACTATGGCTATACACTTAACGACTTGACTCCGAAAACGGCGAGCCAAATGTAAAGCAAAGTTTAGATCTATAGAAAACAATGCGGTAAAGCCTAAACCCTACATCCTAAACCCCCCACCCTAAATCTAATCTATAATAAACCACGGCTACAAAACAATTATTGAACAACAGCATGCGAAGTGTGGATCAGGCATGCACGCATCTTATCAGTTTGGGGCAACCCTCCATACTGGTTTAGGGTTTGGGGCCTACGGTTTATAACCTTTATGGCAAACCAAATATGATTGTGGCCGTAGCCAGACGCGCAGTCGAGCAAAAAGCGTTTCTGTTGAATCTGGGAACTGTCACTGCAACAAAAGGGCACCCCAAATCCAGCAAGCGGTATGCAAAGAACGTCTGTTCTGTTGAGCACCCAACATGGTCAAAGGCCAACTAACATGGTGAGGAATAGAATACACCTCAGATAGCCGAGGGCATGCTAATGTCTGATAAAGTTGAAAGAGAACTGTCAGGAAACAACGCGGCCAAAGACCCATTGGGAGAATATTATTCTTATGTTGGGGTTATACGGGGATACTGGAAAAGAAAATGGAACTAATAGGCATTATAGGGATTATGTAGGGGTTATATAGGACAAATCAGCCAGAAGCAGTGGGACCCGCAGGATACCATGGAAAAGGCCGAGAATGCCACATGCCTGATCAGATGACCCTTTATTTAGGAGTTCCTCTCAGCCGCTTACCGAGCCGTGTGTGAACACTCTGAAACTCCAAGGCTCTTTGCGATTCTATATGTTATAAGACTAAAGCAATGCCTGCCTGGGTGACCTTACTGCAATGCGGATAAGCTAAAGCACTACATATGGCCCCATTATAATACAGCCCCTAAAAGAGACTGTAATTTTGACAGCTCCCACGACTCAGATGCATGTTTTCCACATCAAGCACTCTTGATCTCAAGCTCCTGCTTCTTCAGCAAAGCCTCCCACGATCCTGGAAGAGGCATCTTAATGACCTCCATAACCCTAAACCCTAAACCCATAGACCCAGATGGGAGCTTGGGCAACATCTTCCGACTGCGTGGGCTAGGACTACGGACTAGCTTGCAGAGCTCTGTTAGCAGTTACAGGCCGCCACTAGGAACTCTATAATCTACTATATCATATTATAATATGATATTATCGATAATAATCCACTACAGTATATAAACTATGCCTTACACAGAACCGCGAGCTAGTTTTGACAGGATATGAGAGGCAGGAGAAAATCAGAAGTCATCATGGTTTCCCCATCAACGTAAACGAGTGGAAACTTGTAGGGTTATCTACGGATAATGGAAAAGACAATGGAAACTACCAAAACTACTATGATGGATTATATACGGTTTGGGGTTTTAGGGTTTAGATAGGAGGAAGGAAGTGGTTACTGCATGGCGACACATCGCCCTCATAACCCATGCAGCCAGAGTCTGCCTTGGAATCCCTGCCTTTGAATCATAAGCCTTGAAGCCTAACTAAAAGGGACTCTAATGGGAACCCCAAACAGGGAACCCCAAGAATATAGTCGGAATAGAATAGAATATAAGGACCTTGGTAGTCAAATTCCTGTTATGTTCCTACCATATTCTTGAGGTTCCCTGTTTGGGGTTCCCATTAAAGTCCCTTTATAACAAGATCACGCGCCGGAAACGCAGCAGAATTGCTTCATGCCTGAACATCGAAATCTTACCAGTGGTGATCATGTTACTTCTACCACCCGCTTCTCATGGTCATATAAGCTCACGTAACGCATACTCAAGGGTTGTTAGGAGGGACCCCAGAAGGGACCCCTAATCCCATTACCTTATATAACCCTTATTTAGGCTTTATATACCCCCCAGTATAACCAGGTAGGACCCATATTACCCCCAATAAGCTACAAGGGTCCCAGTTAAGGGTTCCTCCTAAAGCCCCTAGACATACAGCCTACATCTGCCTGGTGAAATTCAACGATAAAAAACCGAAGGCCTTGGTCCGAAGTGCGAATTCAGACGAACATCACCTGCCAAGCATGTGGGTTAGGAGGTAAAAGGTGCTGAGCCCGCAACGATTTGGGTACCTTTGAAGGGGATATAGGGGGTTATATATTGGGTACTGCCCCCACCCCGGAACGGTCCAGATTAAGGGTCCTATTAAGGGCTATATATAACCATATTGTAATTGTTATCCAGCTGTTACTGAGTGAGGGCAGTACCCAAGTTATATAGGAGTTATACAGGGGTGAGCGCATATGCCGTGCCTGAACGCAGCACAAGATCCGACCCAGTCCATCACAACACCAACTCAAGGGATGTCAAGGAACATCCAAGCATTCCAAAATCCTGCAACAAATGTGCTTCTGTGATAATCGCCATCTAAGCTTGACATACTCTGGAAACCCAAACCCTTCGGGGTTATATTGGGGTTGTATTGGGAATTGAAACTGCTATTTAGGGCTTAGGGTTTGGGGTTAAGGGCTTCAATCCCGAACGCTGGCCTTGCATGGCTGCGACTGGTCTGGGTTGCGGACAGCCTTTCAAGGAGTTTGCCATTGCCGGCGTGGGGAGGATTCAACTTCAATGGATGCCTGAAAGGCAGCACATGGATCATTGCACTTTGCTGCACTGGCTGGACATTTTCTTCGATCTGAACGCTGTCTGCGTAAGGGGGAGCCCTTTAAACTTACACTACTAGTGCCCAGCAAACGTCGCAGGGGACGTGCCACCCTACTGGCCCGTCTCCCTGCGCTCCTGCCAAAATGCTGGGTCGCTCTCTCTCTGACTGCTGCACTCTTGGCAGGTCTCTTGTGAAACGTTAAACAAAACAAGGTTTCGGCGGAAAACCTCCAGTGCAGCGGCATACACCACTTCGTCAATGTCGTCGTGCCAGCCTTCAAGCTGGGAGGTGTCGTAGTCTTTGTCTGCACTTTTCCCTGCAAAGCTGGGCCTCGTGTCTTCGAACTCGAAGGCATGGCACGATCCTCCAAAAATTTTGTGAAAGAGGCAGATTGACAAGTCCCACTGCTCTGTGAGGCCTACGAAGGCAAAGTCCTCGCGGACCCTTCGTGCTGCCTCGGTGGCATCTCGACGCGTCACCCGGAGACGGCGCGGATCCAGCGCTGTCGTGGTCTCCTGGTCGGCTACCAGCTGGTACGTCATACCGCCCTTCCACGTTTCGGCAAACTCTGAGAGCGGTATCTTTGGCAAGCCTCTCACCATGGATCCGGTGCAGTTTGCCTTGCTCTCTTGGATCTTGTGGCGCGACATGTCGACCAGGTAGCTGCCGTAGTCCTCTGCCGCAAAGTTGTTGGCATCATCATGGTAGCCTGAAAGGATACGCTGATCCGGATCGCGGAACATTCCCACCAAGTGGCCCCGCTGGGCCGCGTAGTTGGTTAAAGGGACATGTGGCAACGCGGACTGCTGGCAGACGTAATGCGCTGCCTGGCAGTCTCGCGGGCAGTGCTCCTGTGAGGGATGCAAGGCTTGTTGAAATGATTGAAATTGAGTCTTAGAGCATCTGGAAACTAGACCGGACTGGCGTCTGAAGCTGTTGAAAGAGCTTGGAGTTTATGGCTATCTTGCTGTTTTGTCCGATGTATTTTCGCAGCGTTCGGAATGTGCAATGGTGAACAGGCTTGGGTATCGGGGCGTTAGAGGATACCGGCAAGTAAGACATTGCAGCTGAGGGCAAACGATCTTTCATAATGTGAAGGTCCCTGAACCAGTGGGACAGCCAGCAGGCGCCACCACCGACTGTGTCTTCGTTGAGGGCGTGATCGGCCATAGATGGGCAAGCACCGGGCAGGCGGGTGATGGCGTTGATGAAGGAGCTGCCGCACTTTGGGAAGTGAATCCAAGTTAGCGGCCGAGCTTCTTTGAGGTGCCATTCTTCCGCGCCTTCGAGGATGAACTTGTGCTGGAGCAGCTGCATTTGCGGTGCCTCCGGCTCCCCATATTGTCTCGACGCCACGGAGATTGCAGGGAGCGCCACTGACAGCAAAAGAGTCAGCATGGCTCGCACGGAGAAGGGTCGCACCGTGCGGGAAAGTCCCCTACCTATAAACGGTTCGGCTTCGAGCTGGCATGTCGCGGCGAAAGGGTTGCGTTGTTCTCGTACAGTCTGCGGGTGTGTGACAAGGTCGTGGAAAAGACCTGCACCTCCCTACAACTCTGATCTCCGCCTCCCCTTGCCCATCTGCGAGTACTTCCCAAACAATTTGCACGGCACCGGCACAGGCACGGGCATAGGCACCGGCACGAAGTTGGCCAACGTATGAAAATGACACACGTTCCCCTCTGGATGCTCCCACACAACTGGAAAACCCCATTCACGTCGGGGTAATGAGCCTTAAACTTGGCGTAAACATAGGAGCCATTGTCTAAACTCCTAGTATCCATAATCCCCTGTATAACCCCCCTTTAAGGAGTTTTAGACTAGAGCTCATATGGCCACGACTACGTCAGCGCACGGGTGTCGGCAGATGAAGCCTGCCTGAGCTCGTGCATCTCCTCTCAGCCTCCCGTGTTTGCAGGATGGTTGATGGGGTCCAGGGTTTAGGGTTTAGGGTTTAGGGTCTACTGCGGGGGAATCAGGGGGACTTAGTTCATGAGTTCCAAAAATTATGGGATCCTTAAAGGGGCGTGGTTCAAGCTGGGAGAGTACTAGGAAGCCTTGGGGAACCTTGAGGAAGCTTAGGGAGTATTGGGGAATAGTGGGGACTACTAGGTCACCTACCCCCTTGGACCAACCCCAATGTAGGACATCCTAAAAAAAGGAGGTAACAGAAGAGTTCTATGGCTTATAGTAATTATAAGCATACTTATTAAGTCGCTCTGAGCCCCAAGTAGGGCTTCAGCTTTTCAACTGCCGGATTCCAGACAGCAGGAATCAGGCCAACTGTCATCATCAGAACAACTCTTGCAGCAAAGGGTTATGGCACGTTGCCCACTTTGCAAGAGCCACCATACGCGGAAACCGTCACTGATCTGCACAAGTGCATTGCATCCAGCACACACACAAACAAGCACCTTGCACTGCTTCACTCCTTCTCATTTTGCCGCGGCTGCTAGAGATGTTTGGTCAGAGAATTACAATAAAAGTAAAAGAAATAAAACAATAATAGCAAATTATAGTAGTTTCCATGTTCTTTTCCATTATCCCTACATAACCCCAATATATACACGAATATAACCCCAACATATACCCGCATACAACCCAATATAACCCCAATAAACAGTAGCAAAAATGGGAAAATACTAAAAATAAGAATATTCCCAAATCCTCAGAGATGGCGCGGCCAGATCATCTCAGCATCTCCTTAGGGTTTAGGGTTTGGGATCTAGGTTTTGGGTTTAGGGTTTAGGGTTTAGGGTTTGGGGTTTGGGGTTTGGTCATTTCACATTTACATCAAGTTGCCCCGTGCTGCTAGCCTAAACTGCTGCAGAAGACATTGTTTGCCTTTGTGACATCACCACATAGCCAATACGAGCCGACTGTCTTGCAGCAAGGGCCCCCCCCTGCTTTGTAATCATAGTAATAAAACAACAATAGCAAATCACAGTAGTTTCCATTTTCTTTTCCATTATTCCAAATAACCCCAATACATACCCTACTATAACCCAATATAACCCCAAGAATGAACAGTAGAAATACTGGCAATAACAACAGCAAGAGTAATACAAATACTAATAGCTGCAACCTCTTGGCTCCATCGCCTCGCCACACAAAGGCTTCTAGCCACCAGCACAGGGGCGCAAACAACAAAGATTGGCCAGCCCTTCAGATACTCCTCAGAGCCCCCCTATCTCCAGTTTGTCGTATTTTAGAAGGAATCCTTCAGGCGAGTCTGCAAGAGTAGCATCACAGTTTTCTGCTACTGTTAGTTTCCAGAATTATCACAATTCTTCACGGACTGCGAGAGTCAAGCGAGTCAAGTGTGTTTGTTACTATGACTACTTTTAGGTACTTTTAGTATTCTCCTTATTGTTATAGGTCCCCCTTAAGTAGATAGAATATGGCTTTGGGTTTATTATAATAAGATCCCCATATACCCCATACTCTATCTACTTAAGGGGGACTATGACCCTAAACCCTACACCCTAAACCCTATATTCTATCTACTTAAGGGGGACTATAAACCTAAACCCTAAACCCAATCCCTATATTTTATCTACTTGAGGGGGACTATATTCTTCTTAAGTTGAGATCCACCGATGGCATAAGGAAGCACGGTGGAGCTCGAAGAGCCTCTGAACCCCTCGACCTCCAGAGTAAATGCTCCGAAGCCCATAACATGAGTTTAGGGTTTAGGGTCATAACATTGGGGAATATATTGGGGTTATATTGGGATAGTGGAAAAGAAAATGGAAACTACTACAATGGGTTATTTAGGGTTTAGGGTCTAATAGTCACGATGGCAATAATAACAATAATCAGCGGGATTATAGTAGCAAATATCATCGTAATCATAACCACAAATAATAATGTGCTGTATTGCAGGGTCTCTTAATTTCACCGAATGGCACGTCAAATGCAAAAGAAAATGGAAATGAATACAAAGTGTGATTATAGATCTCAGCTCCCTATACACCCAGCGTCCATTTCATTGTCCATTTCCTTTCACATTTGATTCTCCATTCTTTGTGGTACTGTCCCGAACACTCTAAACCTAAATAGTAGTGTCCAGTTTCTTTTCATTATCCCTAGGCAATCCCCGTGTAATTCCTGTTGTGCAATCCCTATAGAATCCCCATATAAGCCCTACATCATCCCATAGAATCCCTATATAATCCTGAGATAATCCCTATATGGGTGGCTGTCAAAATTATGGTCCCTTTATGGGTGCCCTAAGAATTAGGTGCCGTATTATAAGAGGGATCCAAAAAGGGACCATGATTTTGACAACCACCCCAAACAATCCCTGTATAACCCTTGTATCCCCATATACCGGAATTGCTGATATAATTCAAAGTATAATCCCTGTATAATTCCTGTATCCCCATACAACTGAACCCTAAACCCTAAACCCTAAAGCCCTAAAACCCTAAACCCTAAAACCCCAAATCAGCGAGGCTTCAGCTGCTAACCGAGTCGGGTCAGGAAGTTGGCCACCGCCGTCTCCAGGTCGTCCAAGCGAATCCACAGCCTGCCACGCGCGTCGGCCTCGTAGAGGACCACCTGGGTTAAGGGTTTAGGGTTTTAGGGCTTAGGGTTCAGGTTTTAGGGTCAAGGGTTTGGGGTTCAGATTTTAGGGTTTAGGGTTTAGTGTTTCAGGGTTCAGGATTTAGGGTTTAGGGGTTAAAGGCATGGCGGGGTTGACCACCCTCAACCCTATAACCCCCAAAGCGCTGAAGAGCGTACCTCAGGAAGAAAGTGAGCATGAAAGAACTTTACTCTTTTCCTGACTAGCCAAGGACCCTCTTGCAATTCAGGGTTTCGCTTGCTTCTGGCTAGTAAGGAATATGGGAATGCAATCCTTCTATAATCCTTATATAGTAATGAATATGTTCGCGTATTCCCTACTAACCCCAAACCTTAAACCCTGAACCCTAAACCCCAAATCCTAAACCCTAAACCCTATATTCGATGAAGCTTAAGGTACTTCCAGGCTTCCAAGAAACTCGGTAGAAGGGTAAGGCGGCCCCAAGTCCGCCGTAGAAGTTGCCTCGGGGCAGTCCCAAGCGAACTCCACACCCAATATATACATGCATATATACGGTTTTTTTTTGGGGGGGTGGACCTTTTTCCACCCGCAGGCAGAATGCCATGATGGCAAGGTCTGTAGATAGACCCTCAGAAGCCCTCAGAAGCCCTTCTCAGCCAACGACCCTTAAGCCACTTAGCAGCATGTATATATATATATATGGTCACCCACCCCCCATGACACGCACTGATCTCTATTCACACAACATTTTATTGTAGAAACTATGCAAATTTCCTCAATTTTTACGATTTTTATATAAAATCTATATGCTTTTTCACCATAAAACCTCCATTTTTTCGATGTTTTGCACTGAAAAACCTGTAAAACCTATGGAAAACATGTTTTTTTCTCAGCCCTACCTTGCTGTGTCTGATGAGACGCTCAAAATGCAAGGCGTTGGCGCAGCACGAGCGCGGAAAATGTAGGTGTCTTTAAAAATGTCTTCGCTGCGCTGCAGAATATATGTACTGATCTTGTTCAGCTTCCTTTTGGTAGTTGAATCTTAGCAATTTGTTTTCATAAGCATATTTTTTGCTGAACATCAACCAGTTTTGTCTCGGTCTGCCTACACGCTTCCTGCCACAATCAACACGTAAAGCAGAACTAGGAATAAATGATACTTGCCTCATAGGATCTTGGTCGTTGCTAAGTAGAATATGGCCAAGAAGCTTTACTCTCCGTTCTTCATGATATTTACTAAATGGTAACACTTTCCTGGTATCACCAGGGTTTGGGTACGCTGCAGCGGATGCTGCTTCCAGTTTTTTTGACTAGTATTCGCACGGTTAATAAATGTCGAGTTCATACCCATGATTTTTCTCAAGCCTCTATATTGGAAAGCATCCAGTTTCTTTGCCAACGACTGAGTAAGATGAATTGTCTCTAAGCCGTAAAGTAACTTGCTACGGATAATAGCATCAAATACTATGAGTTTACATTTTTTGCTCGCTCTGGTTGCTTTCCAATATGCGCTTAACTTGAACCAAGTGCAGCGTACTTCTTGCATCTTGTTGAGGATTTCGTGCTTAATATTTACCTCTCTGTTAATTTCATTTCCTAAATACGTGGCTTCATAATTTTGCGTGAGTAGGGTACCATCATGGAAATGGAATTGCCATCGTTATTCATTGGTGTAGCCACGCATTTGGACTTATGTAAATTTAGGCCATACTGATGCGAGATTCTCTCGGTGAGACTTAGTAGTTGATTCAGTCCCCTGTTCGATTGCGAGAACAAAATAGTGTCA